CCAGGCCTGTCCCGCCGGGACGGCCCCGGACCCGCCCCCGCGGTTCCCCCCCCACCGCACCGGGCCGGGCCCCCCGGTCCCCCCCGGCCGCCGCCTCCCGGTGCCGGTACCTTCTTGCCGCCCTTGTTGTAGGCGAAGGCGGGGAGCCCCGAGCGCGGCGGCACCGAGAGCAGCATTTTCCCGAGCGCGAGGGGCCGGGACCGGGCGTGACGTCACACCGGGAGCCAGCCTGGAATCCGGGCGGGCCCCGCCACGCCGGGTCCTAGCGCCGGTCCCCGCCCGGTGCTGCCCGTCCTCCCCCGGTGTCACCGCCGGTGCTGCCCGTCTTCCCCCGGTGTCACCTCCCGGTGCCACCCGTCACCCCCCCGGTCCTGCCCCATCCTCCCCAGTACCGCCCGGTCCTGCCCGTCCTCTCCACTGACACCCCGGTCATGCCCTGTCACCCCTTGGTCCTGCCCTGTCACCCTCCCGGTCGTCCCCGGTACCCCCCGGCACTGCCCCTCACTGTCCCCCGGTGTTACCGCCGGTCCTGCCCCGGTACCCCCCAGGTCCTGCCCGTCCTGCCCAGTGACACTCCAGTCCTGCCCCGTCACCTCCCCGGTGCTGCCCCTCACCTCCCCCCGGTGTCACCGCTGGTGCCACCCGTCACCCCCCCGGTCCTGCCCCGTCCCCCCCCCGGTCCTGCCCCGTTCTCCCCGGTACCCCCCGGTGTTGCCCAGTCACCCCCCCCGGTGTCGCCCGTCACCCTCCCGGTGACCCCCGTCAGCCCCACGACAGCGATGACCCCCCAGGGGTCTCACCCTGGATATTGTGTCCCCCCCACCCAGATGAGGAGTCCCCCAGTGGGACCCCCCCAGACCACCCGGGACACCCCGGGAACACCGAGGGGGATACGGGGAGGGGGATCCCGCACCCATCCTCTGCCTCATCGGCGTCAACCGGGGAGTCGCTCTTACGAACCCCCGGGGGGGCTGCACACACCGAGCGCCCCCCTCCGCACCGGGGATGTCACGGACCCCCCACCCCGGTATGGCGCGGCTCCTTTAAGTGAAGCCCCGCCCACCGCCGCCATTACCCCCTCGGCCCCGCCTCCCCGCCCGCACCGTGGGCGCGGCCATTTTGGAGGCGCTGGTCACGTGGTTTGACACCACACCCCGCCCGGCGCCATATTGGCATTTTTCTTCCGTCACGTGGCCGCACCAGGCCCCGCCCCCTGCCGAGGCAGGGCTGGGGGCCGCCATCTTGGAGTCGGGAAAGGGGGAATTTAGGGGGCACCTGAGGGGTCTGTGGGGCGTCTTGAGGGTCTATGAGACAAGACTGGGGTTTCAAGCGGGCTCTGGGGGTCTTCAGGGTGGGATTGAGGGGTGCTGGGTTTTCTGTAGAGCAGGATTGGAGGATTTTTGGGGCACCTGCGGTGTCTCTGGGTCATCCTGGGGGCACCTGAGTGTCTGTAGCGTAGGACTGGGGCACCCTGAGGGGGGTCTTTGGGGCAGGTTGTGGCATCTTGGGGGTCTACAGGGTAGGACTGAGCGTGCTGGGGGCACCTCAGGGGGGGCTGTGAGGCAGAAGGGAGCACCTGAGGCTCCTGGGGGAGTCTATGGGGGGATTGGGGGGTTCACAGGACAGCTGGGGGGGCTCTGTGGGGCATCTTGGGGGCACCTGAGCATTTGCAGAACAGGCCTGGGAGTATTGGGGGGGCTGTGAGGCAAGATGGGGTAGCTGGAGGGTCTGTAGGGCAGGACCTGGGGGATCATAGGGCATCTGGAGGGGTCTACAAGATAGGATGGGGAGGTCTTGGGGGCACCTGGGGGGTCTGTAGGTCTTGGTCGTCCCCAGAGGGTTTGTGAGGTGACACAGAATCCCAGGAATATTCTGTCAGGGGCAGAACTGGGGGTCCCAACCCAGCTGTGCCCACCCTGGCACAAGCTCAGCTGGGGGGGGGGGGGGGCACAAAGTCTGGGGAAGCTCCTCCATTTCTCCCCTCCTCTGCAGGGCACCTTGTCCCACTCAATGTCCCCCCAAATGTCCCCTCCCTGTGTCCCCCCCTGTGACTGGCCACATGTCCCACCACAGTGTCCCCTGCAGTGTCTCCCCTGGGGTACTCCCCACACGTCCTCCTCCAGTGTCCCCCAATTTTTCCCCCTCTCATATCCCCCC